GTGCACTTTCCAAGAACAGAACAAAAAAGAGAATTTTAGTCCCCCAACATCTTATAGTCCAGGATGTGGTCAGGTGGGAGTCGGCCATAAGAGGCCTCGGAAGTGAGAACAAACAGATTATATTTGATGTGCTGGAGAAGAGTGGAGGGGATGGAAAGAGATGGGTAACATCATCAAAACATTTCTTACTCGATTCACACAATAAGACCCTGGGCCTAGTCAAGTTCTCCCAGTGCACAGGAAGAAACAGTTTTCTTGTTTTCTCCTTTTAGAGTATGGTTGATCAATAGAAAACTAGATCGTGTTTTGAATTTGTCGCATCACAGCAGCCAGAGCTGAATAAGACAGATATATATTATAGAAAGGTCCCAACGCCTGCTATGGAAAGCTGACAGAGAACAGTCTCTAAGCAGGAAGAGAAGAATAAATCACTCCTTCCCTATTCGTCAGCTCTCCAGAGAATTAGCATGGTGCTCCTTGTCACTGCATGCATTCCCTCTCTGCTTTGCTCCTTGCCCCTGAAGTGACTAGAACAAAAAGGAAGTTCAGCTTCACAAACAACATTTGTCCTGGGTTGCTGATGGCTTGATCAAAATCCATAGATACACAGCTGTGATCCCTGAGAAAAGAAAAGGGATCTGCTGATAAGGGACCACATTAAGGAACTAGCATTATCCTTGGCTCTGTTGCCTTTAATAGAGTAACACTAGGGAGGAAATTGGCTCAATGTACATTTGATAGTATTGGCTCTTGCCAAGCATAAGTGCCTCTGCAGAAATGTTCTTCTTCTTAATTGGTATTACTGTAGTAATGAGGAGGATGATAATTTATACCCCTGTAGTGTCTGCAATCCTGGACCTGGGCCTTATTATGCTAAGTGTTGTACAAGCACAGAACAAAAATAGGTCATAGGTAAAGTACAAGACACAAGGTAATAGTTGGCTATAGGCAGAAAAGAAGCCGTGAGACAATATCGATCAGTATGATAAGCAGCGGCCTTAGCATACTGGTTGCTTAGATGCTGTCAGATGTAGGCATCATGATAGAGGAGAGTCTGCCTTCTGCCTTTCTACAGAAATAACATGTATAAAGTGACCTTCTGAATAAAAAGAACAAAATGAATGAACCCACCCCAGTATGACCGCTGAAATAAAAGCTGGCTTCTCAGCTGGCCAGTGTGCTGCCAGTAACATGCAAATCAATGATGAATAACATGTGGTATAGAAGTGTGTACAGGAATGTCCCAAATCTCATTTATTTTACTCCAGTATGAAGTGTTAGATCCAAAATTGCAATGATCATTCTGTAAGCTATCCTTTCCTGACAGTAAGCCAGTGTTTTAATAGGCACATGAAGATAAGCCATTCTAATACCATTCTGGATTTGGAAAAGTATGTAGCATATGCCATGTAACCTGCTCCAATATGTTAGAAATGAACTAGATGAGCTAGAGTGATTTGCAAGGGAAGCATAATTTCACTGAGGGGGTTCCCGCTCATAAGGTATAGCTGTCATCACGGATGCCTCAGGTTGGGCCATAAATAACTCTAACGTGTTGTTAATTTTGTGCCATTCACGACAGACCTTTTGTTGGTTTATGTGGATCCATCATGGGTTCTTTCAAGCCAGTTGTAATAAGTAAAAGGTTTAGAAGAGCAAGTCATGTTAAGAAATGACAGATGTTACAGAAGGAGAAAATTACATGGGGTGGTAGTTTCAAAAGCACCTAAATAACATAAGAGCACACTTTCAATGACAGATCCTGTGGTGCCTAGCTCCCAGTGATTTCTGGAAATGTGAGGAGCCTAATACCTTTGAGGATCAGAGTTTTAGGTACCCGGGAGATAAGGTGTATTCTGGTTCCAAAGTACTAAGTTGCTCAAAAATGTTATCTACTTTTATTAGAGATTTGTGCTGTAAGTGGCTTATTCAAAGCCAACTGAATACAATGGGATTTGAATCAAAACTCTCTTGAGTCTATCTGAATGGTCATGCCCTATTAGTTAAGCAATGTATTTGAATGCTGAAAATAAGTCGTCCTTATCATATGTGATTTCTAAAAAATAGTTGGAATGTTAGGATAACACAGCAAATACCCATCTGAAGAGACCAAATGTCTTACAATACCATTATTGGAAGCCTTTGTTCTAGTATAAAATCTATGGACTATGACTTTGGACGGTCAAATCAGTAGGTCACAAATATCTCTTATTCAATGACTTTATTAGAACTGTACATAAACACCATACAACTACATAACATCCTCCAGTGAAGCAGTGCTGGGAAAGATAACATCTAAAGTAAATGTGTGTGAAACTAAGTAGGAAATCTGCCTTTAAAGGAAAGCCTAACTCTAATAACCAAAGTCCCAGTTCTGCAAACAGCTTAAGCTCATACAGAAGCTTATTCCTATAGGCACTTCCATTGCCTGTAATGGGTTGAAAACATATGCATATCTGTTTCTAGAACTAACACCTAAATTATCAAAACCAGACTAAGAAATCTATGCCAAAAGCTTAATATCGCCATATCTATTAACAGCCCTGGGGTTTCAACATCACAGCAATTTACTGCTACTTCCCAACAGGAGGCCCAGTTTACAAGAAACAGCTTATATGACCTTCTGTTGTTCTGTATACACATATACCCACTGAAACCAATAAGCATGTTCCATAAAACTCTGTGGCAGTGGAATATGGCTATAAGTTAGAGAACAGACATTATGGCAACTTTCTGGATAGTTTTGAAAATAAATATAATTTTTAATTCTATTTAAATAACTATTTATAAAAGTCCGCTGGGTAATTTAAGCTCTTTAGCAACTTATTGTTTTTATCTTTTTATAAAAAATTCAAATTTCCCTTTGTCCAGCATAAATTAAGCATCCATGAAACAACTGACTAATTAAAGGACAGAAGTGTTGTGGCTAATGCTAGGAACAGGAGATCTGGGTCCAGCTCCTGACTCGGTCACAGACTGCCTGTGTTGCCTTGGGCAACTCACTCGATCTCTTTTGGTTCCCCATCTTTTGGGATGATGATATCTCCTTTTTTCTCACTTTGCCTTACCTATATAAAGTCTTTGGGGCAGAGACTGCCTCTTCATCTAGTTACGTATACAATCTAGCCCCACGGGACCCTGATCATGGTTGGGACTGAGATATTACTGCACTATAGTAAAAATTTGGAACCGTGTGTTGTATCAGTTAATGAGAAAAACTCTACTTTGAATTCCACAGAAAGCTGCGCTCCCCTCGGATGAAAGCCACATTCCTTTATGTTGTCTGGGACATTCAAAATAAAATCTGACAGGCAGATGGGTTTGCCTGCGATACATTTATCAGAGAAGGAAAAGTAGCATTTAAAATAAAGGACAGTGATGGCACAAGAACACATGAGTATAAACTGCCTAGGAATAATTTTAGGATATTGAGAAGACGGTTCCTGACTAGCAGAAGAGGGAGATTCCAGTGCAGCCCTCCACTACGAGCAGTGAGAGGCAAGACAGCTGACTACTCACAAAATTGATCAGCTTGTGAAAAGGAGTCTCGAATGCGGTTGCCTTCAATAGCACAGAACTGGGCCCCGTGACCCAGGACATGCCTTCCAGTCCCTTGTTCCTAAACATTGCCAATAAAACTAATGATCTTACAAAACAGATAAACCTGACAGTGCTGATATGGCATGCTGTTTGGAGACTGGGTTTAGTGCAATAGTAAAAACCACTGTTTTGCCTCAAAACTTAATCCCAGAATGAATTTTCCTGGTGCAGCACAGTAAGGAGTCCGCTGCGTCCAGTGAAGATTGGGGAGGAGAATGAATACCCACTCTCCTGAGGAAGAATTCTCCTGAGGAGAATACCCGCTCTCCTGAGGAAACGCACAGCGAGCGCCTTTTGCCTTAATTCTTCGACAGGGATTTTATGACATGGTCGCAGGATGCCACAGCCGGGAGTTCCCTTCTAGCCCCATTCCTACACCTTGGCAAACAACGATTCACCGTTCCCAAAACTCATGGCGGCGAGAGTGACCGTGGCCGGACCAGCCGCATCTCTGGGCTCCCTGGTGCACCAGCACCGAGCGAGCAACCGACGGAAGAAACAACACGAAAGGTTTCCACACCGGGACACCGACCTATTCCTATTCCTGGTCCACACGGTCACTGGCTGCGGGGGAAGAGCTCCGCACAAGGCAATATTGTTGCCAGCATTTCCCCACCAAAGAAAGGTCTTCTCCCTTTAGGGAGAAAAATATCCCCCCGGGGCCCCAGATCCATTCAAACCCATTCCCCCCCCCTTTTAAATCTCAGGCTTAGTGTCTTCCTCCGCTCCCCTCCCGTCCCTTGCTTTGCAGCGCAGGAGGGGGAAGAAGTTTTGCTCTGTCAAGCCCCAGCAGAGGCCGGATCACAGACGGGCACGGACGGGACCGGCCCGCGGGCAGCGTCCCGGGGCGGAGGCGGCGCGGTCCCGGG